TGTCTGCTACGACACGTCTCATGTCTGCTACAACACGTCTCATGTCTGCTACGACACGTCTCATGTCTGCTACGACACGTCTCATGTCTGCTACGACATGTCTCAAGTCTGCTACAGTGGCAGCCCGAGTCATGTGTCAGAGGGGACAGGAAACAAGCAGCAGACACACAAACCGTTAGCAACACCTGAGGCTAACGAAGAGCGTAGAGCCAACAGAGAACAAGCAGGTGATGCTAATCCTAGCAGATATTTGTCCTTCCACAGACAAACATCTCATATCACAACAAAAACCTAAACTGAAAGCCTGTGAATCTCCTAATATAGTCATTGTCTTCTATCCGGTTCACTTCCAGTCAGGTTGGACAGGTGTGTATTTTTATTATGCATTAAATAGATTTAACTTGTTTAATATTGCAAATATGTGCTGAAGGGTTTTCTCTTTACAGTTGCAGTGCTTTCAAACACGTTAACCACATAATACACCTATCGTGTAACAGTCCAACCAACATCCTTTCAAACAGACCACATTGCGTGTTAGAGCATCGATCTGACTCGTTGCAAAGGAAACGGTTGACTTATTTCAGCTGCAGAGTGAATCATTTCAGTCTGTTCACAAAGAGACATTCAAATAGTTCCTCAGAAACAGGTACATTTGTTCAGAGCAGCTCGTTGGAACGATTYAAATATGAAGAAAGTGATTCTCATTAAACAGAAAATAAGGTGGCAGAACATCATCATCATTACCATGTTTCCTGTCAGAGGAGCGGTCTCTGCWCAGGAGCTGAACCTCAGGCTCTGGAGACGACTTTCTGATCATTCTGAGGAAAGTTGTGGCGCAAATTTGTTCAACATGTTCCAAACATCTGAGGTTCTTGTTAAAAGAATCACCTTCATCACATGAAAAAGTAGATTTGAGTTTCTCACTGCTAAACTTAAAGTTCACCTAAAACTCTCATTAACTTCCACTGGGTCTATTTTCTCTTTAAAGCCTTCACTCATGTGATGTCACTGAAACCACCAGAGAGAGAAGATCCCTCTATCACAACATTATGACCCCATGACAGAACAATAAAGCCATAAAGCAGTTATGTTGTTGTTTTTATCATTATCAGATGGACAGCTGTGGAAGAGAAAACTGAAAGCAGCACCGACCTCTTTTCTCCTCCAGGTCCTGAAGGAACTGTCTGTAAGCAGCCGTGGAGCTCATTCCTTCTCCAATTAAAACATTCAAAGGTTGTTTTTAGAGGAGGATGAAGAGGAAATGGTTAGAAATTAAAAAGTAAATGAGGGGGGGGCGGGGGGGTAATGTGTGGGAAAGACGAGGAGGAGGAGCTGAGCTGGACGGCCTTCAGGATCTGGGCCATCAAAAAGAAGAGTCGCAGTTAATCACAGAGATAATCCTTCATCTCCTCCTCACTGCCCTCTTCCTCCTCCTTCTTCTTCTTCTTCTTCTTCTTCTTCTTCTTCGGCGTTGCTCCTGGCTGTGCGGCGTCGGGAAGGTAGCAGTGAATGTGTCTGAGCAGCGTTAAGCCGGATAGAGGAACTGGACTTTGACCACAAGGCGGGTGATGTCACCGCCGCAGCCAGAAACATGTGGTTCACTGAGGCGCACGTGTGTATGTGTGTGTGTGTGTGTGTGTGTGTGTGTGTGTGTGTGTGT